CCTCCCTGCACCCACTGTCCCCCCAAACATGTGCCACCCCCAAAAAAAACCTCCCTGCACTCACCCTGCACCCTGGGGGGGGGACACACAACTTGGGGGGCGATGGGCTGAGCCCCCCCCCACTCCCCCGTGGGGGGTGTCACTGGGGGGTGGTTTGGATGGGGACAGTGTGGGGACAGCCCAGGGGATCCCCCCCCGCCCCCCAATGGACACAAACCTGGGGGGTCCCTTGTTCTCAGCAGGATACTGGGAATGGGATACTGGGAAGAGGGACAAGGGGGACTGGGACACCTGGGGCTGGGACACTGGGAAGACGGACAAGTGGGAGTGGGACACCTGGGACTGGGAATAGGGACAAGTGGGACTGGGACACCTGGGAATGGGACACTGGGAATAGGGACAAATGGGACCAGGGCATCTGGGGCACCTGGAACAGGGATTTCTGGGACTGGGAATAGGGACAAGTGGGACTGGGACACCTGGGAATGGGACATATGGGACTGGCAAACTGGGGAGTGGGACATAATGGGGTTATGTGACCTGGGAACAGGGACACTGGGAACAGGGACACCTGGGACTGGGAAACCTGGGAGTGGGACACTGGGAATAGGGACAAATGGGACTGGGACACCTGGGAATGGGACATAGGGGACTGGGACACTGGGACAAGGGCATCTGGGGCACCTGGGATGGGGACACTGGGACTTCTGGGACTGGAAAATCTGGAACAGGGACACCTGGGACTGGATCACCTGGGAGAGGGACACACGGGACTGGGATACATGGGACAGGGACACCTGAATCCCCACGGGACTGGGACACCTGGGACTGGGATACATGGGATGGGGACATATGGGACTGGGACAGCTGAGTCACTTGGGATGGGGATACTGGAAACGGAGACATATGGGACTGGGAAAGCTGGGACAAGGACACCTGGGACTTGGACACCAGGATCACCTGAGACGGGGACAGTGGGGACTTCGGAAACCTGGGACAAGGACACCTGGGACTTGGACACCAGGATCACCTGAGACAGGGACAGTGGGGACTTGGGAAACCTGGCACAGGGACCATCTGGGCCACGTGGGACTGGGCCACCCAGGCCCAGGCCGTGGGGACAGTGACACCTTTCCTGGTGGGATGGTGACTTCCAGACCTTCTGCTGGAGTGACCCCAGTGTCCCACCCCCCATCCACTGTCCCCCCAAACCTGCACTCACCCCCCCAAAGAAAACCTCCCTGCACCCACCCTGCACCCACTGTCCCCCCAGACATGCGCCACCCCAAAAAAAACCCCTCCTTGCACTCACCCTGCACCCCGGGGGGGGGACACACAACTTGGGGGGCGATGGGCTGAGCCCCCCCACACTCCCCCGTGGGGTGTGTCACTGGGGGGGGGTTTGGATGGGGATTGTGTGGGGACAGCCCAGGGGGAGCCCCCTCACCCCCCCCGATGGACACAAACCTGGGGGTTCCCTTGCTCTCAGCAGGATACTGGGAATGGGATACTGGGAAGAGGGACAAGGGGGACTGGGACACCTGGGGCTGGGACACTGGGAAGACGGACAAGTGGGAGTGGGACACCTGGGACTGGGAATAGGGACAAGTGGGACTGGGACACCTGGGAATGGGACACTGGGAATAGGGACAAATGGGACCAGGGCATCTGGGGCACCTGGAACAGGGATTTCTGGGACTGGGAATAGGGACAAGTGGGACTGGGACACCTGGGAATGGGAATAGGGATAAGTGGGACTGGGACACCTGGGACTGGGACAAGGACAAGTGGGACTGGGACACCTGGGACTGGGAATAAGGACAAGTAGGACTGGGACATCTGGGAATGGGACACTGGGAACAGGGACAAGTGGGACTGGGACACCTGGGAATGGGACATAGGGGACTGGGACACTGGGACAAGGGCATCTGGGGCACCTGGGATGGGGACACTGGGACTTCTGGGACTGGAAAATCTGGAACAGGGACACCTGGGACTGGATCACCTGGGAGAGGGACACACGGGACTGGGATACGTGGGACAGGGACACCTGAATCCCCACGGGACTGGGATACATGGGACAGGGACATATGGGACTGGGACAGCTGAGTCACTTGGGATGGGGATACTGGAAATGGAGACATATGGGACTGGGAAAGCTGGGACAAGGACACCTGGGACTTGGACACCAGGATCACCTGAGACGGGGACAGTGGGGACTTCGGAAACCTGGGACAAGGACACCTGGGACTTGGACACCAGGATCACCTGAGACAGGGACAGTGGGGACTTGGGAAACCTGGCACAGGGACCATCTGGGCCACGTGGGACTGGGCCACCCAGGCCCAGGCCGTGGGGACAGTGACACCTTTCCTGGTGGGATGGTGACTTCCAGACCTTCTGCTGGAGTGACCCCAGTGTCCTCTACCCAGACTCGGGGCACCCGCCACCAGCCTGTCCAAGGGTGAAGGTCCCGGTGGCACCCGGAGCACCCATCCCTGCCCCTGCCCACCTGTCCGTCTGTCCGGCCATCCCTCCGTCCCGCGCTGCTGCGGCTGCTCCCGGCTCCGCTCCGGTGGCTCTGGTGGCCCCGGTGGCCCCGTTCGGTGCCCGTTCCACGTGACGCCGTGGGCACAGCGCAGCCAGCCTTTGGCTGGGGACAGAGGTCGCTGCCGGCCGTGGGGCCCCCCCTCGGGGGTGGCAGGGCCAGGGGAGGACACGGTTGGGGACACGCAGCCTCCTCGGGACAGGCTGCCAGCTCCCCGGGGGACAGGGGCCGGCGACAGAGCCCCACGGAGGGGGACGAGGAAGGAGGGCTGAGACCTGGCACGCTCGTGCTACATGTGCACGGGGCTGCTGAGTTCCCCCCCCCCGCTTGTGGCACGTGGGTGTGCGGCCGCTGAGACCTGGCACGCTCGTGACACGTGGGCACGGGGTCGCTGAGGCCGCACGTGCTTGTGACACGTGCGCACAGGGTTGCTGAGAGAGCCTGGCTGCCCCCCCCGCCCCCAGCTCGTGGCACGGGGGGGTATGTGGCTGCTGAGACCCCACACACTCGTGACATGAGGGTACACGGCTGCTGAGACCCCACACACTCATGACATGGGGGTACACGGCTGCTGAGACCCCCCCCCCAACACTCGTGACACGGGGGTACATGGCTGCTGAGACCCCACACACCCATGACAT